ATTTTTATAGGTAAAATAAATGTCAGTTTTGCGAAGAGCGATACCAGACCCTGAGAGACAAATGGCCTATCCATTGAATCTCGGGCTATGGCAAGACTTCCTCACCTCACAGGAGACCAGCTTTTCATACTCCTCTTTACCCAGAAAGCAAAGCTTGTACAGTTCCTTTCAAATGGAAACTCTCTCTTATCCTGAAGAGTCTCCTCATAATATGACAATCTTGGATGGGAGGTAGTGGGTTGGTTAAAAAAATAAAATAAAATACAAATATTTGAATAGTGCGAGAGTGTTAGCATATCTCTTGAGTGGAGTTGTGAGGAGACAGGTAGCTGGACTAGTGGTGAAGAGAGCCAGTTGCTCTGGGCTTAATGGCTCAATAAATTCATGAGGTAATATTCAGGGAAAATATGGTATTTTATCAGAATGTCATTCAAATATAAGCTTTAGCGTTTACATCACAAGAGCATGCACAGAGTAAAACTGTTCCCAGGAGAGAAGTGGTAAGAATAACCAGTGTGACAGAGCATGCCTGCTGGGACAGGGACTGGGCAGCAGAAGCTGGGTGACTTTTGGAGACAGCTGACTAAACTTTCTGAAATATGTGACTGGTTATGACATGTGTGGCAATTACCATTAATGGAAGAAAGCTATTTCAAAACACATTTTCATTCTCCTAGATCCTTCCTGAGACTACACACCCCCCAACCACAACACGAAAAAAAAGAATCCAAGGACAGAAATCACAACATGCAGCTCTTCCCTGCAACAAGGACCAGGAGAGGTTGCTTTACTCATAAGCAAAAGGGGGAGTCATGTGTACATTGCCCGAGGTTTTAGATTTTATTTTCTTGCCAAAAGAGATCGATGTTATGCTGCAGAACAGACAAAAACGCATTGATTAAAGAACTCTTTCCACAACATGCACAGGATTCTACAATTCAAAAAAGTATAAAGATAACAAAGAATCACTTGTCTAAAATAATAAGAATTTTGAGTAATATATTCCCTGGAAGGAAAGTAAGAACATTCAGAAATGCCCTTTAGATTAGTCTAATTCCATAGAATCCAAATGTGCACCAAACACTGCACTTTTTATGTTAAATTGCTGTTGAATTTGTTAACCCACAACTGATTTCCTGTGTTATGGAATCTTGGAGATTACAGCTAACTTGAAGCAACAGGGATAATTCTTGGCAGTTAATAGGACATTTGTATGCATTTTCCTGAAAGGCTAGCAGCTTGGGGCCTCCAACTGGCAGCTCAACATTGCCCCCTACTGCTTGCAACTAAAATAATTGGAGGTGGGCTGACAATAGATATCTTACCAGCCAAGGTCTATTTTACTCCAGTACCCAAATACCACATGGCATTGCACTAAGAGCCAGAGAGCCCGAGACTTTCCAAAGATTATTCTCTGTTGTCTCTTCCAATAGCAAAAATAAATTCTTATGAATTTATTTAAAGTCCTTTGAAAAGGCCTGAAGCAAGGCTTCGACTTAATTTAGAAGAACTATCCCTTTTATCTTGGCCCAAACCTTCACCCTGCTGATAGGATCTCACTGTGGTGGACGGGGGAGACTCTGAACCCTAATTCCCTGAGCAACCTTTGTGATGCCCATGCCAAGAAATGCACTCTGGAAAATTCTCTGGATTGCTATTCGTTTAGTACTTTGTATATGAGAGCTACATAATAGAGGCTATTCCCTATTATTAAGGTGCCACTACTAAAATGTGTATAATCCACATATGGGTGCATGAACACACACACACACACACACACACACACACACACACACACACACTGAATTGAGTGTACACAAGCATCACTCATATGACTACAATCATGAAGGTTTTATTTGGGGAAAAACAAGTCCTAAATGAAAACAATTTCCTTTTTTTTTTTTTTTTGTTACAAAACTCACTGAGTTCTTTTTCTGTTTGTTCTCTAAAATCTTAATTCACAACTTAGTCAAATTACAAAGTCAGGCTGATGTTTTAGGATTAGGGTTCAGCAAGCAAAGATTCTAAATGTATTACATACAATGGGTAAAATCAGATTCACACAGGGTAAAGGAGTCTAGCTAAACTGAAGCTGCAGATATCCATAAAAATTGGGCATCTTTGGGGCTGGAGAGATGGCTTAGTGGTTTAAGGGCACTGGCTGCTCTTCCAGAGGACACAGGTTTGGTTCCCAGTACCCACATGGCAGCTAACAGTCATTTAAAACTCCAGTTCCCAAACCATCTTATTCAACTATATACCCACTTCCCAGATGGCACACTCCCATAGCCTCCCTCCCCCGATTAGAGCCCTTATAATCTGTTATCCCTGCTACTGTTTGCTGTGTGGTCGGCACCCCCAGCCATTCTCCACTACTTGTCTATCTGGTGAATCTAGTCAGCCTATCTAGAGGTCTTTGTTTTAGGAAGGTCAGCTTTTCCTCATCTAGCAGCAATCAGTTGTC